TGCGTTACTTTGAAACTGATGTTTCTGACGTTACTTTAATGCCCTGCATTAAAGTAACCTGACCATTCATAGCACGGGCGGGACGTTTGAAGCCGTAGAGAGTCGTGAAGCCGTCCTGCAATTATGCACTAAGTTCACTATAACGCCATTACGCCTCAGGAACGCTTCTTCGTGAACTCTCTTCGCACAAGAGCGGATGAATCTCGTGAATCTTGAGGCTATCTCATATCACCCTCTTCCCCTGAGGGACCTTTCACCTTCGTTTTGGCTGGCGATATCGATGGCACGCTCATTCTCGGAGCGATCGATTCTTACTATCTAATCCCGGTATTTTTTTCATGAACCTGCATAGATTCACTCTCCAGAGACAGGGTCCTCTGATGCAACCAAGCGCTTGACTTCTTTACAAGTCAATCCCCTTGCCTTAGAGTTTCTTTCCTTATGGAAGTGTTTGTATTATGTCACTCACTCGTGCAGCCTGATTTTGCATTTTCCCCGTGGATTCGATGACAGCCATCTCTTTGCGCTTTTAAAGTGCAATGCTTTTTTTCACGCTAACATGCTTTCTTTCTCTGTCTTTAACTTATCTGCAATTCAGTTTTCGCAGAAAGCCAGCGTCCTCCCCCAGATAAAAAGTCTAAATCGCATCAAATGAATAAACCGACCGTGATGTCTGCCCTAGAATATAAATATTCATTCCTGGAGGTCCTTCCAGGAACCATTTTGCGGAATTATGGGAATTCTTGAAGTCTTATTATGAAATAAGGGAAGGTTTTGCTTTTTTAATGACTCTCCTGAACATGTTAATCTCAACTGATGAGAATTTTTTTCCCCCATTCTGTCTTCTCCATCTTTTTCTTGAATTTTTATCCCTCGCTCCATTTCGGATCCACTGTCACATGAACCAAACTATATGACGGTTCTCTCATGCCAAAGTGTCTATGACTTGCGCAACCACAATCCAGTTCTTATTAATGCTTTGGAGCATCTTGGGGGAATAATGTATTATTTAACAGTGGCATTTCGCCAGCTCCTCAAAGGGTCCATTCATGATTCATAGAACGAGGAGAAGAGGTGGGAAAAGACGTTGCATGCTTCCCACTTTTGGACATACCTCAATAAGGCGGTTTTTTTGCGGAAGCACGTCATTATATTGCTTCAAACTTGTCGGGGATTGTGATATTGTTCTTTTTTTCTTGATCCAATTAAATATGAAAGGATCGGGTATTTCGAGTTGAACATGCTCCTGGTCAGTCAGCGTCGTTATCTATGAGCTATGAAGACATTGGCCCGAATGCACAAACCTCATTTAGGCGAGATAAGGAGGCCTTTAAACGGAAGAGCTCTTCCTCCCATAGGAATCCATGTATTCTTAAAGGGCCGTTAACTAAAGGAGGTTTCAGCATTCGGGCCGTAGCCTTTATCTATGGAAGGGGTTTTAACTGCGCCGTCTCCACGCCTTCCTAAATTTGGTTTTGCTTGCTGCAGCGTGGAAATTAAAGCGTTGAATTGCGCCTCCCCTGGACCTCCCGTTGCAATCAAGTTGGAGAAATCAATATCGCTCCGCGTTGTCAAAACCCTTTATTGGTGCATTGAAATCCGACCTAAACAATTTCCTTTCCAAGTTAGAAGCAGCTACAGGATTTGCAAGTTCCGGCCATGAGCTGCTCTTAAGAGCAGCTCATGTGGATGTCGCCAGACCTCTCATATTATTTAGTACGTCTTCTCCTTATCCTTTTCCAGTGTCATTAACCCTTTCAGACCTTAATTAAGGCCGCTATCGGAATTATATATATATTTTTTGCTTTTTTTGAGTTCTTTCGTGATTGTAATTGAAATTTTTGTGCTTTATATTTAGTTTTCATATTTAGTATAAATTTACCATATCATACCATATATTATATTAAACAATTAATTAAATAACTGAAGATAAAAAACTAATGGGTAAGAGAAGGCCTCTGATAGAACTGAGCCATGCATAATTGCGCCCATTGTGGCGTAATATGGAGCGCAAAATCACGAAAATCCTAAGAAGTTGCCATAGACACAATGTAAATTCAATGTCCATTGGAATGGACGTCAGGTCTGAAAGGGTTAAGCTCCCTTCTATTAAAAGACCTCCAGAGCTGCACTGAAAGAGGCCTTACGTGTTGAATGCTGAACCAAGGGTTCTGGTTACCGCATTCTAACTTGATGATACCTGGTAAATCTACTGTTAGAATGAGTGGTGGAGGCAGACTGTGGTAATCGTGAAGGGAGAAAAGAATTGTCTGTGGGATCTCAGACTATGTACACAGCTTGATGTAGAAGGCATTCCTTCTTGTTCCTTCTTTTTCTCGCTCTCTGGGGATGAAGTCATGAATCACTGGGATAATAGAGTTGGCGTCATGATGCTCCGCCAGCGATTTGTCACTCACTCAACGTCACCTCACGCGGTCTCCGGGGATTGCTGGACTCATAGACCCGACCTAGTTTTGTTGTTTATTTTCCGTTTTCATTACTTTGAAGCGTACCTCACATTTTTGCAAAGCTGATTCTTCCTGCTTTTCTTTTTAGGTATTCGAGCAGTAGTTGTTTTAGAGATAAACTCTAAGGGTGGGTTTTTGAACAAAGCACTATCCGATAATGCAGCCTTATTTTCAGGAAATATAATGTATTTTTCCTGAAAGCAATGCTTCATTTTCGGATAGTGCTCGGTTCAAAAATCCACCCTAAGTCATTTCGCATTTTAGCAATAACTTGCTGCAGTAGTAATATTATTAATTACAGTCGAACTCGGTTATAACGTCATCGAATGGACCAGGTAAAAACCGTCGTTATAACCGAGGTTGCCTTTCTTGGCACTCCGTTTTCCTGTTTTCAAAATTGATGCTATATAACGTTACAACTCCAGTTTACATTGGTCATACTGCACTAGCTTCAACTGCAGTAGTATTATTATTAATTACAGTCGAACTCGGTTATAACGTCATCGAATGGACCATGTAAAAACCGTCATTATTACCGAGGTTGCCTTTCTTGGCACTCCGTTTTCCTGTTTTCAAAATTGATGCTATATAACGTTACAACTCCAGTTTACATTGGTCATACTGCACTAGCTTCAGTTTCAAGATTGACCCACTAATCGTGATGTTCGTACTTCTTTGGACCTTGAACTTCTTTATATTTTAGCAAGGCTTCGTCGATGTCATCTCGGCAGACCTAGGAAGTTTCTTGTTTTGTGACATGTTCTCGTAAGCACGGATTGAAGCTGTCACGATTTTCCCAAATTGTGGGAACAGATGAACAGATGTCCATGTTTGCGAGCGACGTTAGCTTCACGTCGAGCTCTTTCTATTAAACTAATCAAGCACACTTTCCTTTCAATCGTGAAGGCTTGCCTCTTTTGTTTTCCATTGGTCACGTTGTCAACGAGAAATGCAAATGGCGACTGAAGATAAGGTGATCTTAGTTACTGGGGATTATCCCTCCCTAACATTGCTCCAGCCACACCCACACGACTCTCAAGGAATGCCGAAATATTGAATATAAAGTTATGGCTCGCCAACGCTAATTTTTCCGATGACGGAAATTTCAGTTAAGAATGACGGATTAGGGACATAAACGTGTCGATTTCGTCTGTGAGACCTTAAATGGACTTCGTTATAACCGAGGTTTCGTTATAACCGAGGTCGTTATAACCGAGTTCGACTGTACTACTAAAATCCTCATTACGTCCTTCGCCCCTTCATTCAACGTTCATGTACCGAACGAACTCCAACATATATCTCGAACGACGCATTACATTGATGGAATCAAAATGATTTAGCTGTATTGCCCTTTTCCCGGGAATGATGCAGGAGTAGTGCATTCAATGGAGGGAAAGGGATTTCGCCTCCTCCTAGAAATTTCTTGGCACCCCTTACCCCTTATATGCGCATATATATATCTCTCCCTTTCTGGTATAATGAATAATCAGCTCTTGTCCACATGAAATAAACCTCCCGAGCGGGGTACTTCACTCCCCTCCACTCTGACATGCCATTTTTCCCCCGTGATCAGTCTATCCTCATGCAATGCAAATGGAGCAGGTCCCATGAATGGGGCCCTGAAATTTCAACAGCCTCCGCGAGTATACATATCACCATTTGACTGGGAATGAAAAGGCAAGGAAGACTACTGTATATATTCATCTGAATAAAGTCTTAGGCCTCAATGGAGGTTCATGAAGGACGAGACAGGATAATAAATGATGCTTCTTCCCCGTTTCAATCGTATATCTCGGGAGTGTCATGCATTTCCATCTTCTTCCAGAGGGTTTGGCTCTGTGGGTAGTCTCTGAGAGGTCTCTTGTGGATCCGTGACCTATTCTCCGATTGAGATTCTTCGGGAGAGACCTCGAATCCTTCTAATGCCATGAAGTGCATTGCAACAAGCCTTTCCTTCCCAAGGAGTTGCTTCAGAGTGGGGTTATTTTTTAGTTAGATTCTTGCGTCCTTGCTGCTAGTATTAGACTCGACATTAGATCCGAACTCAATTAAAATAAAATTAGTCATAATCTATATGACGTGGGATTTGGGTGAATCTAATCCAACATTGATCCAAGTAACCTCGAAAAATGCGATAATACCGAACGGTCATTTTTTAAAAATAAGTTGCGCTTAGGCTACATGATCTTTACTCACGTATCTTCCCATCTCGCTCTCACTTCATGCCTTTCCTCTTTCCTGCACCTTCAAACATGCTGTAACTTTGTTTACTGGCAAGCATCGTATCGAATGACGTATGAAGTCTCCTACGCAATCGTCCAAATGTCTGTCTTAGTATCCGCGTGCGGAAGTTACCACGACGTATCTGTCATCCCTTGCGGGAATATCGCAAGTTGTGGATTTTCGCCACATCTCACACGCAAGGTAAAAGTCGGTTCGTCTTTTTGAGGAATCTGTCCAATGGCATAATTTGGATAGGAGACGATTAGTGTGCATGGGCATTGATAGGTTATGGGCACGAGGCTGCGAACCTCCTGAGGATATGAGTTCCTGGTTTATTGCCGATTCTTCATTCTGTACATTCCCCAAAGAGAGCCATTACTAAGCACCTTTCAATTCATGTGCGTCCTGGTGACTGTTTTGTTTTATTATCCTGCCATGTCGAGAACGCGAGGGCGCTTGCTCTCGAGCCCCTCCCAAGACTGGAGGATTTCCATCGGCACCAGGTTCCTTCCCAGCCTGGGATACAGTTCGATGACGTAATGTCTGTCGTCCGCTTCCGTCCACGGGAGCCACCTGTGCTCATTCTTGGCCGGAGGCTTCAACTGGGGTTTCCTACCAAATTTGAAGAAACAAGAATCTGGCAGATTCGTTGAATCAAAGACTGCTAAGGGAAATTATCGGTTACCCGTGATGGGTGAAGTTTAGCCAGAGGTCCATGACTCGGGTTCTGACTAGAAAATCCGAGCCATCTACGATCGGAGGCAGAACGGGGTTTTTAAACATGTAGAGGGTCTCATCCGTGTGGCATGCCCCTGGATATCGAGCGAAAGAAAGGCAAATAGAGTGATAACAGGGCAAGAGGGAATTTAAAAGAAAATATTTGACGTTGGAGACCATGTGGTTTTAGCCCTCCGTTTTGAAGGAACTCGGCGAGCCAAAAGTCAATAATGTTCTTCTCCCCTTCGTATTCGAAGGAGTAGGCGTAAGTCTCGGTCCATCGAGAGTGGAGCTTCAGGGCCTGTTGGGCCGGCACTCCGAACCACCTGTCTCCCAGCAGCTGAATTGCATTTAAAAAAATCCAAACACAAGATTCTGCAGTGGATTTGCTTTGCTCTGGTCCGTTGAGGTTACCCGGTTAATGTCCGAGATCGAATCGCGATCGATGGGTAGGTCCTTCAGGTACTTGAATCGGATTTCGTCACAGGCTTCGGGGTCATCCTCCAGACCCAGGATGGCCGGGCAATATTTGCTCCTCCAGTTCTCATCCAGATGCCGCCATAGGGACTCGTCAATTACGGCCTCTACAGTATATCAAACAGCATTAAAAGAAGTGTGTTATGCTGCACCACCGCTCGGATCGTTATGATTAATTCCTTAGAAATGAGCTGGCTTGGTTCCTTTCCCGATTTCTTTGTTCTCAACGGTCAGTCAGTCAGTCAATCTTTGTCAGTCACCTTCTCAGTTCAGTTTTTAATAATTTTTTTCGGGCTTACTGCTAGTTTCAGATTCAGTCTTCATTTCATTGCAGTGAAATTTCACTGTTTTGGCTCTAATACAAGTCATGAAATTTCAAACTACAACCCCATAGGCTTAATTCGGTTTCAAATTCGGCTGACCGAAATATAAAAAAATGGCTGACCGAGAGCTAGCCAGAGTCCCTCTTCTCGGGTGATGCCAGTCATCCAGGGTACGCGATGGAAGTCCCCACTTTCAAGGATCATCTGGGGACTCCGGGGAAGGAAAGGCTCTCGGGACTCAGCGTCCACCCGCGGTGAAAATCTTATAGGCGACAAACTCCATACCTGTCGGCAGAAGAACGCAATTATGGATTGATAACATTCCTGCCCCTGAAGTACTTAACAACCAAGGGGCATGGATTTGTTCTTCCGGGGAAGGAGAGGATGAACGCTGTAAGTCTTTGCCAAAATTCTAACTGCAAAGCTGATTTTTTACTTTTATCCTGATAATTTGCAACAGTTGGGCTTGAATTTAGGAAAAGTGAAACTATTGCAATACAGTACGTAACATCTAGCGCCGTGTCCTTAACTGTAACCTGTAAAATGGGACCTAGTGAGTCAGGTCATAATTCCCGGTGTTAAATGTATGGCATTAACCTTTGAAAGATCGCTTTTCCCTTGAAAGCGTTAGCCCTTGAGAGGTTTCATTTTCTCGATTCTGCTTGACGTTTACCCCTCATTCTTAATCCTGGTATCCTTACTTGGTGGAGTTCTTGGCATTTGATGTTTCAGTCCTAATTGCTGACAAGCCTTTACTCTCTTCCCTGAATTTCCCACCCGGGATTCTCAAGAGATAAGTTAAATTTATTTGAGGAATCTTTATTCATACCCAATGCACCACAGCATACCTCTATTTTTCTTTCAAAATTTATTTTTTTCTTCAAACGTAGAACTTCTTTCACTGATACCCGTAACAGGAAATCCATTGGTTCACCTGTCCATTTACATGTCTTGGAAGGCGTCTCGCAATTCGTCGGCAAGAAATGGGCTAGTCAGTTGTTGTTTAGGAAAATTGAGCGCTTTTCAACTCATCCCATCACGTGTAACTCTACTCTCTTGGCACCTTCTTAACAGTAAACACTGGCAAGTGTAACCCGACTCATTCCGTGTCAGTCCAAGAACGGCTGTTTGGAGGCGGAGGGGATCGATCGACCGAGAAAGGTGGGCATATACGAGGTATGAGCGAAATGAGATCCATTTTCCTCAGAGCTCGGCGCATGGTGTCACGCCACTGCTTTTTGATTAAGGTGGGGATCCCATGACGTCAAAATTCGCTATAATTTTCTAGGAAATCCGTCAGCAGATATTGCCTCGGCCGAAAGCACTAAGATGCCATAGTTTTCCTTCTCTCGAGCACGAATTGCTCTGAAGGTAGGATATAACGTCTATACTATACATTGGCATCCAACGTTCCGCTTAACCCACAACTGGAAACGAAGAATTTTATTTACGAGACGAAAAATTTACTGACCCAGAAAGAGGCTGTGGCCTGAGTCAAAGTGAAGGCGTCAGTACCCCGAAGGCATTCAAGGAGGTTGAGGGTGGAATCCGTGGGGCATCCGACGAGGGAGGCGACGAGATCTGCCCGCTCCCTTGCTTTTCCTGGCCCCTGCAGCACCCAATGTCCCAAGCTTGTCCCGCTTTGTGAGATCCCCGATCGAAACAGGCCTAAATAAGTCGAGGGGGAGAAGGGAGTAGGAGAAAGTTATGTTCTGCCATGAAATTATCATGCACGTATGTCGTATTCTTCTATTATATATTACTTACTTCGACTCTATTATTTTTCTTCTTTGTTAATCGCATTTCATTGCTTTTATATATTGGTACTATTTCAAAATTCTATCGTTTCATATTGAGCTTCCCGAATCGATATTGTATATCTAAGCAAGGATGTCCATACATATAAAGATGTATCGATCTACGAAAGATCTTTTTCGCTCTTATTTCTCGAATAATTCGTAGGGTTCTTTGTATTCAAAGAAATTCAACGGGAAGTCCATCGTGAACATGAATCAAGAGGCTAGAAAGAAATCCCCATGAAGCTGTTGTGTCTCATTTACATTTTGATGAGATCTGTCAAGAGCGGCGTAAAAGATGAAAGGAACCCCATTTCAGGCCATTTAAAAGGCTTTATCCGGAGAAACTGATTTTATTTGCTGACCCTAGGTCTTCCAACGCGCCGTTTCCCGTTAATCTGTTTTCGGAGCCGAATCCAACGTTAAAACTTTTCAAAAGCATGAAATGATGGGCGATGTCAAGTGAGGAGCATGGTGCATTAGGAGGAAATGGAGCGTAAAAGAGATTCCACTCTACGTTTGCAGTACACTTGACCTAATGGGGCCACTCTCGATGAGGAGAGGCTAAACTTGCTCTCATGTATTCCCATTCCTAATTCCATCGTAATCAGTGTGATCTGTCACATGGGAGAGGGAGTGAGGGGCCCCTCGAGAAGATGTGTGTTTGTATCCATACTAATACTCCCATTCTTTTCTGAGGACAGAAATCTGCCTCCAAAGTGATTTACTTCACCGTGACTGATCCCGAGGACTGGACATGGAGATAGATATCTCCATGTCCAGTCTAGATGAGAATCTCCTGGAGGATGGCCCGTCCCCGTGCTCGTCACATCTTTGATCCCCAGTCAGCACCTAATTTTCGTTATGTTCCGGATAAAGCCAAGGAGAAAGAGACCTTGAGTCAAGGGTGAGAGCATGAGAAGATGGACTGAGGCGCCGCCGGCGCTGTTCCCGAACAGGGTCACCTTATCCGGGTGACCTCCGAACGCCCGGATGTTCCTCGCCACCCATTTCAGCGCCTCCACTTGGTCCAGCATCCCGTAGTTCCCCGGGCATGCCTCGTCTTCTGTCGACAGGAAACCTGGGACGAGTATTTCCGTGGGACGACGTTATATGGTGTTTTAACGTCTTCTGGTTACGTTTTACGTTGTTTCTTCGCTCTGCTTTTACCTTTGGTGTATATTTAATATTTTCATTTTTGTTTCGAATTAGCCTTTCGAATTTTTAAAGTTTTTTTATATTAATGATTTTAACAAGGCTGTACCAAAGATCCCGAGGCGATACTGAATGGTGACCAGGACGACGTCTCGGTCCATCAAGTAATCCGGTCCTTGACTCTGAGGACTCGCGATATTGAAACCTCCTCCGTGGACCCAAAACATCACGGGCATATCTTGTCCCTTCAGAAGGAAATTACGAGTATAATATTTCAAATGAAGTACATGGTATACATGAAATGTACAGTATACCCTGTATACAAAAGAGAAAGGGATAAATAAACATACCAAAAATGAGACGTGAACGTGAATGAAAAGCATACAAAGAAAATGAAAACCCTGATGAAATAAAAACGATATATGTGAGTCCGAGAGAGAGACCTGTATCGATGGGGTGAAGACATTGAGGTAGAGGCAATCTTCGTTCCCGTACACACCTGGGGGTCTGGGGAAGACACCGGTCTGGATGCATATCGGCGGGTGCTCTGTGACATTCCGAACTCCTTCCCACGCCTCCACCCGCTCTGGGGGCTTCAAAGGTTTCACAGTTCACGCTTGGTAGGTGCACTGAGAAGTGACCACTGAGGAAATGACCACATCACGACTAAAAAAAAAAGAAGTTATTTTGCTGCCTCCTGCAACGATTGTTCTTCGGCATTCTATGCGTGGAAAAAGGAAATTTAATTTAATATGGTAAAACTTTCGCAGAGTTTTAATCGTAAATGGAGTAATATGAAAACAGGCTTTCACTATAATGCAACTGATTTTTTAAATCGCTTCTTAATCGTCTCATTTCTAATCTTTAATTCCATCGATTTTCATCGCCCAGAAGGACGTGATGAAAAGGAGACAGATGTAGGTTGCTTATATACTGCAGGAAAAGCTGACTATCCTTCGATTCTATGGAGCTAATTTATTGAAGTACCTCTCCATAGCCAAATAATTGGACAGAGTACCTGTTCATCTATTACTAGGAGAGACTCGGTTTCATTAGCGACTGTAGGCGTGGTATAGGGTCAGAGATATATATTTCGCTCTAGCTTCTACTTCCGCCTCCAGTAGGTAAATGTTCAACTCATCTATGTTACGTAATGAAAAGCATAGATCCAGAAGGGGCGGAATATGTGTCCATTGGGGTTTGGGGCTACTCTCCATCCAGTATATGTAGCTCTTGCTCTAATAGGCTGGTTTCCTTCTTTTCTGCAGTAATAGGATTTTATGAAGCTTATTGAAGAAAAGAAAAGAAAAATTCTTCGATCGGCTTTATTCTTTAAAATATTCCAGATCTATCGCATAAAATAGAACATGCAATGCACCCCTCACACTGACATCAAAATTGTAGTTTCATACTTTGTGCCTGCCTGCCTGCCTTTACAAATTTTCATTCTTTAGTCTTAGTCGGTGGGACTCCATCAAAGTAAGTCGTTCGGAAGAAGTGTAAAACACATAAGATGTGCAGCATTGCGATAGATCCCAGAGCAAATAGGACCATTAGCTCTCGGATATGCGTATCAGTTCTGAAATATGCACATTTGGATCATGCATGCGCTTAGGCGTATTACAGCCTACCCCGTGAGCGCAGTGTGCGTCTTCGTTGAACGCATTGAGTCGAGACTCAGTCTGCCATTGAAATTGCTGCTCCCAAAAATACGTTGGCGATGTTGATTAAATTTGGTGCTTGAATTCGTTTTAATGAGTCCTAAAAATCGAATTGAGTGTCAATGACTTCTGAATATTCTTCACAGCAAAATCCCGTCAAACCCTCATGTCAAGGGCAGAAGGGGGATCCTACTAATCGCCTTAAAGAGAATTGAATTGAATGAAAATGAATTTCTTAATGAGAAAAGGATGGATTTCTAGGCAAAGTCTTATTTTTTCTTCTTCATTGTGCAAGCATCAACATATACTAGCATGGAATTAAATAATAGACGCATTTCGATAGGTCATATTTTATGCATAGGTTCAACGACCCTGACGTCACCGCAGCTCGGTAAGACGAGCACTGAGGATGAAAACTAGTTCATGCTTGATTCTCCTCTCTAAACCTGGGTTCTCCAGTGCCCCTCGGTGGTAACATTCGTACCAAGGCGATATGCGCTCTCTTGGGTGCTGAGACCTGCCTCCGTCACCGTGACTGTTAGTTGCGAAGGCGTTTCGCCAAGCTGGCCCGTTCGATCAAGATCGGACGCCGGTTTGGCGAAATGATCCATTCAGCAATGGGTTTACAGTGAGGTGGTTTAACCCTTTCCTGGGGCGTGAGAATCATACTTTCTGCCTAATTTGCATACGATTTGTGACAAATAAAAATATGGAATCTGTTTCTTGCGTTTCTGTGCAATTTATTTGATTAAAACAAAAAACAAGATATGCCTACTTTTCCGGATAATGGCCCACGAAAGGGTTAAGGGAAGAAGCAGAAGGAACCGACATTATCAGTGAAGCCATCCTGTGCCCCCCTCCGTAATCTGCATATTGTGTCAAGACGGTGCATGCATCAGACTGATTCATTCTGCTGGTGCATGCTAAGTATCTCAAGCAGGGATGATGAATGACCCAAATCAATCCGACGCGTGCATCTCAATTAACCGACGTCGATGAAGATAGAGCGGGTTGGCGAAATTGCCTTCGTGAAACGTCGTCTTGGCATGGCTTCACAGCGAAGACTCAAGCGAAGACTCAAGAAAGGCGAAATAGAAATAAGAAAATTGCCCTTTCGGTGAAGCTCCTCGCTTATTTCATTCCTCGGTGTGGCAAATATATTCCGTATGGCTTCATCATATGACCTTGAAATTTTCCTCGATATTCAGTTACCATTAGGAGTTCCTAGTCCACTTTTCATAAGTAAACTTCAGAAGCTTCTTTAAGGCGATTAGCTGGGCCCTCCATCTTCCTTTTACATGAGGCCATTTGCCAAATTTTCTCTTTGAAATATATACGCCCTTGAATTTCCAATCGATTCCATAACGCACTCTTCGGAATACACGAGCCGAATTTGACAAATATCTCTCAACTCCTTATTGGTGCTGCAATTTTAATGACGGACGTTGTAGGACCAAAGCTATAAGGCATTCCTACCTGAAACCGGCGCGGGCCGATCGGAGGCTGAGCGTAAGGAACACCCCGAAACGCGTAGTATGTTCTCCCCCCGACGGAGACCTCCACCGTTCCGCGTAACCGGCCGGAATCTACCTCCACCACCACCGTCTCCCCCGCCCCACCTCCACACACAACGAAACACCCGACGAGTAGCCGTGCTAGTGCGATGGTTGACATGATAGTGTGAAAGGCGACAGCGTCGTATGTTTCGTGTCGGCCGAACGACCAGGCGGCCTTGAGAATGGGGGGGACTGAGTGCAAGGATCAACACCAGCATGCATATTGCATGAAGGCATTTTTCCTTCGGAGGGGGAAGACCGGTTTCATTTACGTGATGTGGGTGGTTTCATCCCCGTGATGGATGGTGACGGATCGGAAGGAACGGGGTGAAAAACGGAAAAAATCCGACTTGCGATGCGTTGAGCAAGTCATGTTTCTTTCTCGAGGGAAATGAGGGTTCTCATCTACTCTGCGCGTGCCAAAAATCCTTTGAGAGGAGGATCATATTCACGGCTTATGAAAGCGGAATATTTCTTAAATAAAATGCTGCGAAAGTGCAATGAACTGTGAACTGAATTCAGCCTCTCTTATTTACAGCCGTCATGAATCTGTCATCTCCCTTTCTCCACATGCGACTCCTGGGATAAGCCAATAATATTTATGCCTTCTGTTTCATGTTCTGTTTCGTCAGGTTGAAGAGAAACGTGACGAAAACCTTGGTTCGGGACCATTACCAATAAATCTTACAGCGAGAGAATCAAACGAGGAGATGTCCTGACTGTTGGTCATCTTCATAAAAAAAATAAATAAATCCATAGCATGCTACCGTCGAGTCACAGAGGAAAAGCATGCTTCTTCTCTGGTACCTTGCACGAATCCCGAGTAAATCAGGTCCCATACGAGTGCCCATACATCACGAAACCTTGTCGTCCGTCCCCATCCGGAATGAGATTTGACGTCTCCTTGGTGACGGATGAGTTGACGGTGAGGATGTCTCTTCGAGGATGAGTTTTTCCCACTCTGACATGGGGATGTATTTATTCGATAGTACGGACATGGCTGCACTCCAAAATCTCCTGTATCATCAGTTATTGGCCATGAATACGGGGCGTGGCGCGGATCATGTTTCCTGCAGGGCCCTGGTCCATTTATCCCCGGGAGGTCTGGCTGGCCATTTGGCTTCTTGCCTTGTTTCTGCATGCACCTCAGGACAGGTACTGGCACGCCGCCCTCGTATGCCCCTGGATTGTATATTGGAGGGCTTTGAGAAATGAAGCTGTGGGCCGACTTGATAAAGGAGCTCTATTGGATGTCTAGTGTGGTCTTAGCATTCAGAACATGAAAGATGATCGTAATGGGTCGAAGGCTTAGAAGATATAGGGCGCGCGTCTGAATTCAGCTGCTGGTTCTTGGCTCGCCTCTCCTCAGAATCACCTACAATTGAGAGTGCTGGTGACTTCGAGAGACGGATGACGTGACTACGGGGGGCTGCTGTCGCCATGTTAGTCCTAGTTCTATATTCATCACGATAGATGAATACGAAATTTCCAGGGAGGTTTTCCTGATATTCATTCAGGTATTAAGTTCTTGAATAAATTATGCGACTAAAATATTTGAGAACAATGGCGATGTAAGCATACGCTATCGTCGGCCTCAAATTTTACTAGAGTATCTGGGTTATCTTGTACCACGTACGTTGGCCAAATGTTTTCCAGAAGAAAAACAAAAAGGCCGCTTGGAAGAAGAAAAAAAGAGCCGAGAGGGGAAATATATATAGCATGGCCAAAGCATTCACTCCCATTGAATGTGGGGTCACTGGTTCTCTGAGATAGACAACTTCTTTTTTTTTCCCTTTCAGGCTCTTGGCTTGACTAATCCGATTTCTGGATGCCACAACCGGACTTACCCGGCCTTAATCAAATCACAGCTGTGAACTCCCGCGTATAACATGGAGATATGAAAGCCGCGGAAACTTTCTTCATAGTGCTGTGGGAATTGGGAGGAGGAAAGAGAGTCAGCAAGGGAGATGGAAAAAATAAGAACAGAAAAAGCTGGGCCTTCGTGCTTGGGTCCCAAACGAGCTGTCCAGAAGCGCTGTACGGCTCTCCTGGGGATTCTCTCCTTATCGGGCTGAAATGGCTCTTCCCCACGATAAGACGCGGAGATTATCTCTCCGGAAGAGTGTCGGAGGAGCCCTTTATGCCCATTACGGCGAGGAGGAAGGAAGAAAGTAAGACCTGAAAATACGGCATTTAATCATTAGGAAATTGCTCATAACTCATCGGGACTAGAGCATCTTCCGCGTCTATTCAAAAACAAGTTCTTATTTAGGATCTCTAAATCATCGAAGTTGCCGATTCCGGTGATATCGATGGTCGGGAAACTAGATAAAAAAAAAGAGAAAAATAAATAAGGGGAAGAGATTGATGGGAGGAGTGTCGTAAGGATGCGTCCCCCTCCCCCATTTCAACTGGACCATGGAACACGTACCATTTATCACTGCAGGGGGATTGACTCCGGGGTCCGGAGTGGAAATAAGCTGAGGATGGGTCTGGCGGATATTGCCTACAGAGCCTTCTTTTTCACGTATCTTTTCATTCATGGATGATAGAGGGAAAGCATTATTATGGGATGTGACGAATGGAGAACGACGGGATGGTATTCGGGCTCTCATTCGGGGTTCGTGATGGTTTTCGAGATGATGGGCACGGACGGAGTTTCTTCCTTTTCATCAGTACGATTCTGGTACATCAGGTTGGTCATATCGTGTTTGCGCCTTTGGTTGCCATTGGAAACTGTGTTGCGAAGTGGATTTCCTTATTTCATACTCGACCTGGACAACATCAATCAATGCTCATCATTTATTTATTTGTTGTTACTGCCTCTCTACTCGGGGATGATTGCTCTTCAAAGTCACGCTCTTCTTTTCTGTTTTCTCCTGTCCTATTATGATAAAAGTGGCGATAACAGGGCAAAGGTGTCTCTAGTGGACAAGCAATTGTCCTCATGTGCACATAAATAGCACACGGCGCCACAAGAGAATTAAGCTGGCAATTCATTGGCAATCCCATTAACCCTAGAAGTGCCAGACGCAGCACGGTAGCCTACCAACGTCAAATTTATCGATGGTTGACACTTCTAGGGTTAACCCAAGTCCTTGTCCTTGGACTCAGTTCGTCATTTTCACGACGCTGCCGATTCCAGCGTATTCGAACGAATACCTGACCACTCTAGGAGGCCTATACCTATGAGGGCAATGTTTTTTGCTACGTGGGATGTTACCTCATGTTGCCGGACCCGCGACGGTGAAGCAACATCGCCGACATGTTGCTCCCTGCTCATTTTCTGAACCAAGAATGTACAAATTCCAACTTGATTCGGATTGAAAGGGAAAAATCTCCTTTCTCGCTGAAATGTGCAGAGCAGTCTCACTTCGAGGAATTCATTTCCACGCTAGGGAGAGAGGACAGGGGAGAGGAAAAAGGGAGAAACCAGACAATGACGGTGTAAAGACTTTTTCTCCCTTCGCATTGAAGGAGACTTCATTCAAAAATGACGCGTCTCCACAATTTCCCCAGGAGAAGTTCACGTCCTGACAAAGCAAGGGAGAGGAGGAAGAAAAAAAAATGAAGACGGCGAATGCGAGGAGTATTTCTTTGCAGTTAATTTCTTCCACATTGGTGAACGACTTGACGACCGAATAAAAAATTCTCTTTGCTCCTTACCAAGTCCTGCAGACGTGACGTGAAAGAGGGCACTTTGATTCCACCGTGGAAATCTGTAAGATTGAATTAAACTCAAAATTTGCCTCGGTTGTAAGGGCCTTTTGGCTTTCACTTTTGGTTGGTCCTTTGTCCGAATCCAGCTGGCTCTGGTCGTGCACTGTTGATGCTAAGAGGAAAATGGATTGTCCCTGGGTCCGTCAATCATCCAGTTAGGCAAGGAAACACGGGTCTGTCAATCGGGTTATCCAATCAGGAAAAAGAAATCCAGGGAAAGGAGGCCTGTCCACCCAATCAGCAGGACCGGGAAAAGAGAGAAGTTGGATGTGTCAGCCATGCAGTACATCAAAGAGGGAGAGGGAGAAGGAAAGACTAGTGCTCTCACTCAAATAGTCGACTAAGGGTAACATGCCCTACACTCAGGGACTGAACTGGTCTGATTCCAGGCAAACACATGTCAAAAATGAGGTAAAACATACACCAGATCCGTTAAGCTTTAAACTGATCAGGTTTCATAATGAACGTCAATGGGAATAAGAGCAAACCGATTCTCATAGAGGATATTGGTGAGGTTGGAGTTGTTCAAGTTGAACAAGTTTGCTGCATGTAAAAAAATTATTATTTGAACTGTTTCGTAGCATGCACGAACACCATTTTCTTATAAACTAATCTTCAGAGATAACCTTGTTTCATTACAGGTTTATCTCCCTAAACGCGTTCTCAGTGGGAGTATAGATCTAGGCTATATATTCCGTACTAGTTGAGCTCCACGACTGTAATATGATGCATTTCTTCTTGGAATTATGATAAAACAAATAACACCAATAGAACATTTATCCTGGGGGGTCTACCATTACATTTGGAACATTTCTGTGGATTCTCTACATACCCTTGAATATACTTCACATTTTTGCCATGAATTGGTAACTCTTTAATATGAGACTGAATAATGTTTACGGGAAACCATGGCAAAGTGGAACGATAGCTTTTGCAGCACAAGACCTGCCACCTATAAAAGTAAGAATTTACTATTACTAGCACAAATCAAACTTGGCAAGACAGCATAACTCCAAGCGCTTCGGTCAGTATTTTGTGTTTGTCGTCAAGACATGCATTTCGCTCTTTCTGATGTTATTTTCGGCATTATTCGATTATCGTTTTATCTTGAAACTGTAAATTTTTTCAATTTATCAACTGTAAAGCGAAACCTGGAGTTTTAGTATAAATTCCAGCAAACACATCGATCTTTGGAATTCAGATTTCTCGACCAGCGCAACTTCTTGGCAAAAGTTAGCTGCATGTAAAGTGGAATTACTTTCCACTTTGGCACTATAATAAGGTGTATCGTTCTCTGTGGACGTGTGGATCACAGGGTACGATGCACTCGACATGGCGTACCATGCTCTGATACGACCGGAATAAAAGTTTCTATGGCGTATCATAGGCCCAAACGCC